ATGACAAAAGGAAGCTGTGCTGTTTATTTTACACTACAAAGGATTTAACTCCTTCCAAAAATTGCAGATAGATGTTTTAGATTGGACAAACCATGCCATAGGAATATGTATCTCTCTTTGTTGATTAAAGCAAACATCTGAATGGCTTAGACTAGATATCCAATGTCCATAGTTAGGTACCTAACTAAAACAAGAGGAAACATATTCCACCAAAGGGTTAAATTACATGTATACACACCTATTTGCTTGGAAAGGTGGGCTGACTTACTGTCTATAAAATACGTGGTACAAGCTGAACCATTGTCCCTTTCTCCTGAAATTAGTATCTTGAGCCTTTATGCAATTGGGCATATAAGCATTTGGAGCAGTCTTTGTGGTTTCACTCCATTTTGCTAACAAGTAATCATTGTTTGGACAGTGCAGTCCCACTGACTTTGAAGTGGTTGCTTGTATGAAAACATGGTAAGAAAAAGAATAAGATTCCTGCATATGGTAGCATTTTGATATTTCAGATCATCCTCTATCATCTGAACCTCCCATTCAGCCAACTATTGCTTAATTCAATAATTGCTTAGTTCATCAGGTTAAATATTAGGTTAGAATATTAAAGCTAGATATTCAGCCAGAGATTTCCATCCATTTTAATTTAAGATGGAGAGTTAAATCCTCCACATTCTAAAAATGTCAGTCCATACATGTCTGCCACATTTCTTAAATGAAAGTAAGATGTACACAGCAGAGATGATGGATTCAAGTTATTAAAAGCAAATGTTTTACTTTAACGCAGCTAAGTATTATCATAAATACCTTTTGGTTCTTACTCCTTCTTGATGTGAGGTTGTCATTTGGGACACTCTGCTACTCATGATCTGTCCTTGCCTATCTTTTTTTCTTTCCAAATGTAAACTGAGTTTGAAATCAAATCAAACAGTACTGAAATAACTCTAGTGTGACACAGCTTTTAAGCTGTCTAACAATTCTAGATGCAGTGAGCTGTCTAACAGAAAACACATGTTGACAATATTGTTTTCTCAATGTGTGTCTTCACTGGCAGAATAAAAGTTGTACATGTACCTTCCAGTATTTGCAAAAAATTACTCTTTCAAAGATAATCATCATCATCATCATCATCATCATCATCCCAAACCCCTGCTGTTTGGCTCTATTTGTTTCTTCTCTCTGTTGCTTATTTACAATAATTCAGGGCTATCTCATAACATAGAAATTCAAGAAAAGACACAAGGAAAAGCTGAAAATGGTATAACTGTATGATAGAAAGGTGTCTGTGAATACAAGCCAGTTATTCAGGAATTGAAGAGAATAGTGGATTTTAACTTCCCTGTTTATAGTAAGCAAACTGGGTCTACCTTCATTGCCAAAAATCTAAGAAATCTTGTCACAAAATGTCATGCTTATCAATAAAGTGCCTGTCATTTTTTTAATATTGTATCTTGCTGTACATGTAAAACAAATGTACAGTCTCCATGAAAACTAGACATTTTCCCAATTATATACATGCTTTTTAGCTTCTTTGTACATTTCATACTTTTTGATGGCCACTGAGAATCGATACTGAATTTTCTGATAGCATAGCTCATAAACCACTTATGTACCTTACTGTGTATATCCAATCTATCTTTTTGCTCTAACAGAAAGAAAAGCCATTTGCTGAGGCAAGTTGATAAAAAATTTATTTTACTGTTAAAAATATTAAATTAAATGGAAGTATAGATGACACCGTTATGCAGAGCAAAGCACGCAAATTAATTCATGTGCATCAGGAAAACAAAATAAAACCTTAAACATCTGCATTTTAATTGTAACCAGTGCTGGATTTCAGTGTTGAACAATTAATGATCATTACACCATTTTAAAATATCAGTGGGAGATTGTCAAAGAAGATGAGCCTTCCATGTTTACAAAAGATTTTGCCTGTGGCATACTGTGTGCTTTTGTGAATCATTTATTTTCTAGCTTAAACCTGTCATGGTATGAAATATTGCAACTATGATTCTGCATGACAGAATAATGAAACATTGAAAAAAAGTCGACACTGCAATGACTTTTCCACATAATTTTGGGCTTGAGAAACTGAAAAGCTGCACATGAAATAGCTTTCCTTTTCACTCCATCAAAAACTAATCCAGGCCAATGAGTTCTCTTCTACACACCGAATATGGTCTTCCATTGTTTGTGTTTTTTTCTATATTGACCTGGTTTTAGCTTTTTTTTTAACCTGTGGTCTATTATAACATCCTATATACTGTATTAGATGCCAAAATAGTTCCTCAGGAGGTTCCATTCAGCAAATATTTGAATGTTATGTATCACATTGCAAGTTGGAGCCATAGGGAAGATTATGGAAGAAGAGGGTTTGCTGTTTTCTTTAGGAAAATGACTTTAAATTATTTTATATCAGCAGCTTTGCTGGTGTACCCCTTCATTCTCCAACAAGCTTGTTTCAACTCTTTGTTGCTGTGAATAATCTCTGACAAATCTACATGTCATGATGCACATTAGCAGGTGAATTCAAGATGAAATCTGGTGTCTTTATTAACAAAGGCCAGCATTTTTGGGGGACCATCTTGTCAGTGAGTGACCCCTACACAATCAATATCAAGCACTGCAAGTGAAGACACTTTTCTTAATGCAATGTCTTCTACCGGGACCCCAAATAATAGAGTTACAGGTAATAATTTCCTAAAACTGATCTTAAAGAGCTCAGCAGTAAAATTTATGGCTATCCTTCTCTGCAACTGTACTTGAATATATTGTGATGAGATAGAGATGAAAGCTATTAGAAAAAACACATTCATCACATAAATCTTTAAAATTTCAGACGGAGACAAATAATTATCTTGAGTGTAGAAAACTTAGGTTAAATCGATTGTCAAAATTACTTTGACTTTCTTAATGGTTGTTCCTGGAATGATTTTAGTAAAAATAGATTAGAGAAAGAGCATGGGTCAGAAAAATACCCATATTAATAATTTACCAAAAAAAATACACCACTGTATAATTCAAACAAAGATTCATATTTTAAAATTTGAGCTTTTGAGTGCAAGGAATTCTGCTCCCTATTACCATAAGAGTATCATTGCAAAAAAGCAGTTAAAATTGAAATACTTGTTTTGGCCTATTCAACATGTCACGTCATCCTCATGTTTGAACGGCTACTGCCAGATATGTTTTTTACCTTTCAACACACAAGAATTCTTGTTTTCTGTATTCACAAAAATGGATTAAATACTTCCAGATATGTTCTACAGGTACCCGGCATAATTGCCAAAATATGCTGTTTAAACACAAGAAAAAGAGTAAAGGTCTATCCCGAGGTAGGACAGCCAAAGAGCTCGAGAGAAATGACAGATACTCTATCGTAATCATATCCCCAACATATTCCTGAATCCTTGGATGGCAGGGTTAATCATGTCTAAACCATGATTTTCCTTCATAGTATCAGCATTATTCTTTTTTTGTATAAGCACTGTGAAAGGGTCAAACAGAATTCCTTGACACTGTTCTTAATATGCTTAGCATGTAAAGAAAATGAGTATTTGTCAAATTATTCCTAGTAACTATGCAGAGCAGAGGGATTTTTCCCCATTTTCATGTCTTCCTTTGGGAATTCTGTCTTTATTTGCAGAAATTACAAAAGTACATTTCCATCCAGAATGTCAAAGATATGAAGTACAGAGCATTAACATTTTAAATCCTTTATTGTAGTAATTTTAACTCTTTACATGTTGACATCTGTGTCATAAACTAAGAAGTATCAGATTTGATGGAAACGGGAGGACATAATCTTTCCAGTTTATCTAGAACAAATTAGCCAGGTCAAAAGCATTTGATTGTTAACACCTAGAAATAAATCAAGAATTGTGCAAATGTGTTTAATTTTTTCTGAACATTCCAGAGGAATAAGTAGAGATTCCCATGGCTTAGAAGACAATACTTTTAAAACCTGTTTCATTTGTAGTAGCTGATGCACTTCTATGCTATACTTAAGAACAAATTAATTGGATATTAAGTGAGTTCAGTCATCATGAGTATGGCAGATGGATACAGAGCAGTTCAAGCATTGTCTTTAATCTGGATAAAATGTTTGCAGAATCAACATGAAGGAAGATTAATAAATACCCATCCCCATCCCCAGGCACCTGTTATTTGACTAACTGAAATGTGAGCAGTGGATCAAAATAAAGTCCTACTTATCCAAGCATAAATCTGAAGCATGGATATTTAAAGAATAAATGATATTCAGTATGTGGCATACTGCTTACCAAGGAGTCGAACTGAACAACAAACTATCAGCTGTCATCATAGGCATTGTTTAATAATAAAGTGAGATAAAATAATTAATAGATCCAGAGAGATAAAACAGTGCTGTAAAAGCCCTGTCTTTTCGTAGGACAGAAGAAATCCTTACGAGATTCATCTAGTCATCAGAAAAAATGTTAGGATGGGAGTGAAGTTCTGATGGAGGATCTGGGAATCAACAAAAACCAGACAGATGCATGCTGCTCTAATTTCATTCCTCAGGAAAGACTATGCCATTGCCTCATCATGCAGAGAAGACAAGGATTATGAGAGCAGTATTACCAAACATTTAAGACAAACATTGCTTCCCCTGCTTATGTGGACTTACTGGAGCTATGCTACACTTTCTATAGCCTTGGCACATGACCTTGGGTGAAAAGAAACCTTAACTGGTACCACTAATATATTTGGCTAGCATCACAGCAATATTCTAAGTTACATGTTGGTTGTCACAGTGAGACAAAAATAAATGAATAGTAATTTCAAAAGATAATGTTAAGAAAATATGTTTGAGAAAATACTGCACTATAAAAATGATTAAAAGTATAAACAGAAATATCTGTTTAAAACAGTTTTTTTCACATTAATATGTTTAATATAAAAGCAATCATACAAATCATCCAGAGTTGTTTAAAATATCCAAGCAAGAAAAACATATGAATGAGACAAGATCTACTCACCAAATTCCTTAGGAACAGTGATAGAGTAAACACAGTTGTGACCAACACTGTAATTCTTGGGGTAGTTTGGTGATAATACAGTGCCTTCAGACCCTGTCGACCGGCTTCCGCAGGGTGCTAGAAAATGAAGATAATCAATTCTGAATAACATAATATCAGAAAAAGATCAGTCTAAAGTGATTCGTTGTATGTTGGTATATGCTATTACAGTAGATTTTATTACACTTCTACACTGGATTAAATTTGTATATCCTGTGAAGTACTGAGTATGCGCAACTTTCTCATATATCAAAAGAGAATTGATGGCACTCTGCAGTTTCCAGATCAGTTATTGGTTTTCTTTACCATTTATCAACCATCTTAATAAAATAATGATGTGCTTTATACACAGTATGCTATTATTCACAGCATACAAAACTATTATTCATTTGTAGGACGCTTTATACTCTGATAAAAGCATATATTATGCAGCCCTTCTGCACACTAGTAAATTCTTACTCATGCCAATAGACTCATAATTCAAAATAATGTATAGAACTACTGAAATAAGAAAGTCACGATTCCTTGACTGAAAATGATGTAGCACTTATTCGTATCTCAATTATTTATAACATTATATATATAAAATTATAAGCAAACACTTTTCTTTATCACACAAACATCATGTTTATTCTACCATTAATAGCTATAATACTTAATAAAATAGTAGATAAATAACAATGCTATTTACTACAACAGTGTATTTTTTCTGTGGTTAACAATAGAAGTTAGCATTTGGCATTATTCAGAATTGTCAAGCAAGAAACAGTGCTTTTTCTGCCTTTTGTTCATCAGCTGTTCAGGTGCATTTACATGAAACAGTCATATGTGTTACTGTTTTCCTATGTCTATTACCTGCTTCTCATACACACTTTGTAATTTAGTAGTTTAATCTATTGTCAAGATTATGGCACCAGTTTAGAATATTTTTTCTAAACACTTTGGACTGTAAAACATTTTTTAATGAGTTTAATGTTAACATATCTATTTAACAAATTTGTTTCCTCTGTTAAGACCTAAGTGACTTCCTAAAACAAGTACTACTCAGTGTTTCATTTGGTAAACAAAAAAATCTGGTTTTTGTGGTATGCTTTCAAAACATTAATATCTTCTGAATTATATTAAATAAGAAAAATATGGTTTTCTTACTATTATTTCAGAAGATATTATCTCATTTCTTGTCATACTAAATACAAGCTATTTATTAGTGTAGCTACAAGTCCTGTGTTTTAAGACTACTTTTAGTTAATTCACACAAAATGTACATAGGGTATACCACGAAAAGAACACATCTTTTAATGCTAGCAACTTCAGGCCTTGTTGCTTTGAGCATGGATTTCTGTAATTTGCATTAACACAGGTTCCTTTCAGTATGGTGTAGCTGCAGAGTTAGACAGACTGTGTACCTGAAACAGGAGCAGATGGTACCTATTGCTCCAGTCTGCATATACAATCTGTAAATGATTTAATGGGCTAGCGTAAAAGTCATGGTATTTGAAAGAGGTCAACAGAAGTATCTTGACTTTTGTTTGTGCATGTGTGTGTGCAAGTGGTAGATGCGGCACATGCATTACAGATTAGCAAATCAGTCAGGACCTGGAACAGAACATAGTCTTGGCGACGCTTAGTACAGATTTACTGATAGACACCCACTCTGAGATACAGAGTAAGCACTAAGGCTACATGGAACATTGCTCTCTACGGCTGAAGAATAATCTCAGTGTCTTCCCTCAATCCACCGTCATGTGAAATATTGGAAATTCATGCTTTCTTGTGAAAACATATTTAGATAATAGAATTATTGGTACTTTTTGCCAGGAAGCAATGGTCTAGGCTGAGCCTCACATCCAGGGACTTACCTGCCTTGAGTTATTTGAAAAACACAAACTAGAAAACCCTTCACTGGCTGAACGTGGTAAATATTTTTGATGAAAACAGATCTTCTTACCAGCTCGTAAGTACTCAAGCTTTTCTATTCCAGATTTTGGATGAAAAAGAAGAGAATATGGAAGAATATAAGGAACAAAAGCACTAAAACTAGAGAAATAATATTGCCAAAAAGCTTATTACTTCTCCCTAACCCCATTTCCTTCTTTACTGTTTGTGAGTTGAATAAATGAGTTACTGCAACAAAGACCAATAATACCATTCCACTCCAACATTCATATCATTATCATACTTCCCTAATCAGCAGATATACAATAATGTGCAAATTCAGGGTAAAATTATGATACCACTGAAGTCAATGCCATTGACACCAAAAAGGACAGAATTTCACTCTTAATATTTAATAAAACCTGAATTAATAGCACAAAATAGCAATACTTAAATTAATAGCTATATATATAGTACTCAGCATATAGTGGACCATTACTTAAAAAGTCCAGATTTTTTATACCCCTATTCTTTTTTATTCCTACAAGTTATGCAGCTAAGCAAGGTATTTGTGATTTTACAAAACTACTAGTATGCTTAAAACAGAACAAAATAAAAAAAAACCCAAGTTTCTTTTAAAAAACATACATTTTTCCATAAATTCATTTAACTTGCACTATTTTTCAAAAAAATAAAAATCAAATTTACTGCAAAATTTACAAGTTTTTATTCACTTCAGTGCAATGTCTTACACTACAAATTATTTATATTAATAGTTGCATATCTAAAATCAACTGTGACTTTTGAGTTGTATCTTTACTAAACATGTAACACTGTTGATGTGTTGATGTTGTAATACTGTATAATATCAATAACATTCTGTAATATCAAAGTGATGTCACCATGACTTTTTTTTGAAGCTAGGAAAACAGAGAAACTAATTATGTTTGTCATACACAAGAATTTAAGAAAGCTAGTGTTTCAAAGTGTTCTTGATTGTCTGAGGTAGAATTATTGTTTAACTATGTATACATCTAGCCAAAATATTTCACAATATTTGAAAGGTAGTATTATCACAGCTGGTGTAAAAATAATTACACAACATAATTCCACTGATAAATGAACACAGATTTCTAAAAGTGATTAAACCCAGCAATTTTTGAAAATTAAAAATATAATACAAAATACAATTTAGAATCTTCAAAAATTGGAGAGTTCTCATTAATACTAAAGTCTGTTAAAAATAACTTCAGTGTCCCTAAAAGGTGAAAATAATGCCATTTTCTTTTTATAATTTATATTAATTAAAATGTTTATATGACACATTGTCTGCAACATCTAAACATTCTTCCCACACATTCAATCCCAAGAAAGCAACATCCATCTGTACTGGTTATATACTGGGCATATATCTGGTCACATAAGAGGACAAGAGACATAGTACAAGGCCGGAAGCAGGATTTCCAGCTGGGGTCCTTTAGGTGCAAAGTCTCTCAAAAGAGTTGTCCGCAGCCTATGTTACAAAGTGCTCAGCGTAGTTTGGATTTAGAGATGAACTATCTGTCACTCTGATATATGTAAATTCTAATTTGCAGCAACAACAAAATACTTGCACTGAGTATTTCATAGTAATTTCTTTCACTTGGTGTTCTTGTTCTGGACTTTTTCACCCTGCCCTGAGTTTACCTTCTCCCTTATGTTATCTCCCACTGTCTTCCAACTGCTGCTACAATGACTCTTTATCCTCACAAGAATTCACATTCCTGGGTCTCAAAACCAAATAGTATAAAGGAAAGTTGAATCAAGATGTAAGCACACAGTTGACCTTTGCAATCTGAAAAAATGTTTAACTTCATAAATAATTAGGTGGTAAATCATGTAGTCCTTATAGCAGCAAGACTGCCCTCCAAGATCTTTCTGAATGTATCAAGGAGGAAGCAGTTTATTTGATATTTTAGTAAACCCACAGAGTTCACATATTGATTATATTTCCTTCCTTACCCTTTGGGAAATGCTTACTTTAAAAAGCCAGAAGTTTCAGAAAGGGGAGATTCTACCCTGACCATCACTAAATATTACTATTCAGAAATCAAAGATGGACATGGAACCATAGCTACAGTGAAATAAAGATATTTATTTAATACAAAAATAAAACATATTTTTGCCTCTGGAAAATATCTAGTATCAAGTTATTTGGTTGGATGTAATAATTCCACTACCACAATGCTACCCATTGACTTTTGCTACGTAGGTCTCAAGTCCTTTGCATCAGTTTTACAGTGCAGTGATTTATTTCATTTCCTAATAACTACAAAGTTAAAAACTGAAAGGTTGTGAAAATCAACATGTCTAATTATTATGCTATGCATTGAAAGGTCTACCTACAGTAAAAATTCTAACAGACCCATCACACCTACAAATGTAACCTGTGTTATGTAACGCAAAAAAAGCAACAAATGCTGAGGATAATTTTCCTAGCAATGAAAAAAATCCTGCAGAATAAAACAAACCAACCAACCAACCAACCAAAAAAAAGTTCAAAAGGCAAATGATATTATCTAATGTAATTCTCCAATAGTATTCCAGTATTTTTTAATAATGTTTGCTTAGCCTGTGAAATACTGTATCACTTTCTGTATTTATTTCTGCTTTATTTTATTCTCTGACATAAAAATACTACTTAGTATGCTGTCCTTGTCCTGCTTTCCACAATGAGCAATAGAACACTAATAGGAGAGAAAGGGACTTGATTGATTGTGGTAAGAATGTGATAAGAATCAGTGTGTTGATGCATTGCCCACTGTTTCCTTGAAACATTATTAAGCATTAATGGCAAAAAGTTCCTTTTCTGTGTGTGCTGAATTTACTGTAATGGTATCTTGTCTTGTAAAACAGCATTCTCTGCAGCCCTTGAAAAAGCCCTATCATAACAACAATGAAGTATCACCCACTCTGCATGTTAAATTGGTAAGCTTTTTTATCTGGAAGATTACCCATCTTGATCATTAGTATTCACACACCTTTGTCAAAGAACTAAATCCTACCTCTTTATGGCAATGCATTAGTAAATATGGAACACAATATAAACTGCATTACCATCAGCAGTGACACCTTTTCTCAGATTTCAGCATACGCTAGTTGTAAAACAAATGTAGATGATCACCACAGAGAGGCAAAATCACACAGCAGAACTACAGATCCCT